TAGGGGTGCATCGTTGTAAGATTTAACTTGCTGTGGGCAATATAGTGAGGTATAAATGCTGAAGTAAGCGAGGTAAGATTCATACCAATGCTTAGATGGGCAGAGAAGAGTAACTTTCATCAGGATAAAGCTAGTGTGAAAGGAGGTAAGTAAATAAAGGAATCCAACTCCATAATGGATTATAAACAATACTTTGAAATGTGAAAATCAGAAACTAAATATTTTCAAAATGCACTAAAGAAAAAAATATCTGAAATCAAGCACTAAGTCTTAACATTGTCATCCCAAACCAAGAAGTGAAGATCAGGTTCAACTGCATTGAGGAAGTCAGCTGCATTAGGAGGGTGTGTTGCATTCTTAAATGCAGATGAACCATATGGTATACACATGGAATTAGGTGGGAGTTCAAGGCTAGTGATGAGCGAAAATTTGCACACTAGAGGGCAATCAAGTCGACAATAACTGTAACTGTGTAAGTAATAATATAGGAAAACCACTGCATATCTATAGAAAACATTCATTTTAAACAAAGAACCAAACATCAATAAATGCATAATAAAGGAAGCTATCTTAATTGAACAAAACAGTCCCACCCTAAACCAACACCCCAGGGTACCAAGATACCTATATTAATCTGTGAAGCAATCTCTGGTCACGCAACCTCTTTGTTCCATACCATGTGTGTGTGTATTCCTGTGTACTTGTACCTGATGATGACATAAGCTTTTCAAAACATTGTTCATTTGTAAGACAGTTTCTTTCACTACCCATTCAAGCTGTCTCCAAACTTTATTTTCTAAAAAGTGAGTTCCTTGTCATCAAATTTCAATCCATGTAAAATGCTAACTGGTGTTTTGAAAACTGCACATCTTATATAATGATTCTCTATCAGCCGTCTCCTACTGCTTAAAAGCATTATGTTTTGAAGATATTAAAAGCAAAGGCATACTTAACTGTGCTAATTAAATTATATAATGTTAGTTTCTAACAGCACAAACATTCAATGTTTAATTATTCAATAAAAACACACATTTGATCAGGTTATTTTGGTACAACTTTTAGAGTTAAACAGATGATTGTTAAGATTTGCTAATAAAAAAAAGATATTGGTGTTAAATAAAAAAAAACAGCTTAGCACCTCAAACAATGAATACAGACAATGATGAAGATCTGTACTGTGATATGGTATCTCAGTAAAATATGTGTATAAGTAATGAATATTCTGACATACTTTAAATTCAAACTACATCAAATCATTTATTATTCAGTTGCATTTTGCTGCATGAAATGCTTCACACTGAAATCAACCATTACCAGCATTAATTATTATTCAGTTATAAATGATAAAGTTGTGAACCCAAACACTTTAGATAATTCAAAAGTATGTACAATTACTGGTGAATATCATTCTGCACTTCTTCATACGCTGTCACCTGTAATATTGCATTAAATGTAAAATTACTCAGTCCCTGTCCTATATAGATTCGAAAAATGTTTCTTTTCTATTACATGTGCTTTACTTATATTGCATTTATTCTACTTCTCCTTACAAAAGTTATAACATTTTATCCGAAAAATGAAAATTCTATACAAATAACTTACTTATCAAAATGTGCAGAAAAAGACAGAAAGCTAACTTCTCCTAATCCGCCTGATAATGCTGCACAGATGACACCTGGAGAAGAAAACTAAAAATGTTAAATAAATAGATTTCTGTAAAGTAGTCATAAAATGAAAACTGTAAAATCCTGGTTATTTGTATTTGTTTATAAATATCAAAACATGTGTTCTCTATTAATATGTTTCTTTTTGATGTTGATTATTTGAAGTCTTTATGGTAAAGGACTATCTTTCAAGCTAAAGTTTTACCTTTCAGATATGATGAGAATATACACATGTATATTATTAAAAAGCAAGGTTAATTCATTCAATTTCATTATCGGAAAACATAATTGTAAGTAAAGTTTTATTAACACATTAATATGTGTAAAAGAAGAGACAGGAAACTTCACAATCTGTGGAAAAATACAACCCAACAACATTTATATGATACGAAGGCTGTCAATTTTGACTTTAGTTACAAAAAACGTAAAAAAGGCTAGATGGGAGAAAAAAAAAGTGAAATTTGGAAAATTAAGGTCCCAAAAATATGTTAAAAATGTCCTTTGTAAATTATCACGCAGGTGGTTGGTAGAGGAGGTAACTGTATGTTGAGTTCCTGAAGGGTATATCTATGTTATTGGCAGTTGAAGAATTTAATTGGTATCCTTCATAGACAGTGTTAATTTCTGCACAACTTTGGAATATATTTCATCTCTCAATTTACCCTATGGATATGGGTTTATGTATCTTACCCAACTTTATAACCACCATGAAACCATGAAGGTATGCATACTATAGCTCTGAAGGTACTCAATGTACCTACAAAATTTGATGAGCTTTTAGTAAATATTACAAGTCTTTTGTATATAAAAAAATCAGGTTTTTTAATGTAGTGTTTTTACTAAAGATTTATCCACGAATACATGGTTTCAGAGTGTTGACTAGTTTAAGTGCAAGGTGACTTCCATGTTAGATTAAAAATACTCTTATTATTCTTACATTTTTAAACTTAATTTGCATAACCTCTAAAACCTCCTAAATTAATATAAATTTTATTCAGTCAAATTTTCTATTTTATCTGTTTTCTCTACCCTAACTATATGCATGACATTAATTTGATTGACCTTATAGCCATCACAAAATATAGAAAATAAATCTAAATTACCCTTTTCCCTTTTTTAGAATGACTACAGATTGTAACAAAAAACTACAACTGTTCCTCCTAAACAGCTTAAATCTGGTAACAGTCAACATCTGTTTCTACTTACGTTTTATTGTTTTGTTGCTTTTTGAACCATGGGTAATTAATAATCCCTTGATACAAGTTGTAAATCACACTGCACACTCTTAGTTCAAGTTACCATATTGAATTATGTAATACACAAGCTACTTGTGAGCAGACGTCATGAAGAAATTTATTATTTTCATTATATTACCTAGCCTAACCTTATCTAACTTAATATTTTTCTAATTCTTACATTTAGTTACTTTTATAAGAATAAATAAAAAATATACATATAAAAACAACAAGTAGTATTTACATTTGATCTCTTGTTTTTTTTTGCTGTCAGCCTGCAGGTGAATTTCAAGTCTACTTTTTTTTTTGTAATAATGGCACTAGTACGTTGAATAACTGTTTTTGTTTGATAAATACACATAAGAACACAGAATAATAACATGCAGAAAGCAAACAATTTCCTATAACTTAGCTGGCTTTCTAACTAATGCATAAGTGCCTTAAAATAATTCTCTTATCTACTCAATCTGAAATGAGGGATAGCAACCTTCACACTGTAGACAGAATAACCAAAACTTTGTACCGAGCTCAACATAATATTATATTTAATATGGTAAATTAAAACTTTATCTTTCTATTGTTATAAATGACATAATAGAAAATTTCACAAAGAATTACTGGCAATTTGTAAAAGAGAGTATAAGACAAGTGGGCATAGCAAACAAGTCTGACTTTCTAGTTTATATCTCCATAAACAAAGAATATTGTAGGCTATAAAAATTAATTTTGCCTTAGAAATACCTGTACTATAATGAGTAATTTATGTTAAACTCAGTAAATTAGAGAAACATGTTGAAAAAATTAGAAGCTGGGCAATACATGGCAAAAAATTCATAATTCTCATACAAGGGGAGATTGAGGATTTATAGAAATATTTTATTTTAAAATTAACAAATGAAAGTTTATATAATTATAACATTTGGTTTATTAACTACATTTTGATGTTAAATTTATTTGTATACATTGTTAATAAAATAGTTTAATTACATTTTGAATGAAGCTCTTTAAAAGGTGATGACACGAGCACTTGGACCAACCTGTTACTATATATATGTATGAAATGCTATATATTCTTTATGAGAAATTCCTACAGAATAGCTTAAAAATTTTAATTATTTGGGGTTTCATTTCTATGAAAAAGCATAATCAACAAAAACTTTCATTTTTAACCCATTCACTGTAACCAGTACATATATGGCCTCTAAATTTCTTTTCAGCTCAATGAGGCTGGTACACATATAGATTCTTGCTATCAAAATTCCTGCA